CGAGCCAGCCGAGCTGTCACGCCAGCCGAGCCAGCTGGGCTGTCACGCTAGCCGAGCCGGCCAAGCTGTCATGCCAGCCGAGCCAGCCGAGCGGCCACGCCAGCCGAGCCAGCCGAGCTGTCACGCTAGCCGAGCCAGCCAAGCTATCATGCCAGCTGAGCTGCCACACCAGCCGAGCTATCATATCAGCCAATCTGTCACACCAGCTGAGCTGTCACTCCGGCCAAGCCGCCACACTAGCCGAGCTATCACACCAGCCAAGCTGTCATGCCGGCCAAGCTGTTACGACAGCCAAGCTATCACACCAGCCAAGCTGTCACACCAGCTGAGCTGTCACGCCGGCCGAGCTGTCACACCAGTTGAGCTGTCATGCCGGCCAAGCTGTCACACCAGCCGAGCTATTACACCAGCCAAGCTGTCACGCCGGCCGAGCTGTCACGCCGGCCAAGCTGTCACGCCGGCCGATCTGTCACGCCGGCCAAGCTGTCACACCAGCCGAGCTGTCACGCCGGCCGGTGCTGCCGGCAGCTCGGCCGCCCTGCCACTGACGATCGCTGCCTTGGAGGAGAAGAACGGCGTCGACCCGCGCGTCGCCCGCTTCGTCCTGCCGATCGGCGCCACCATCAACATGGACGGCACGGCACTGTATGAGGCCGTGGCGGCCATCTTCATCGCCCAGGTCCGCGGCGTCTCGTTGGGCATCGGCAGCATTATCGCCATCAGGTCAGTGAAGGGAAGCCGCATCGACATGGGGTCCAAAACTGGCAGAATCGCCGTCATCGGGCCAGTGGCGAAGAGCGCCACTGTCCACAGGTGAATATTTATATGGCCAATGATATTCATCATTATCACCATCGTTTCTATTCAGTAACCGACATCACCGTCATCAGCGAACCAACAATGCGTATTACCGTCATCAGGTCAGCAACTTGCAGCAGCGATATCTTCACGTAAGTGACGGTGGTCCCATCACCGTCACGTTGGTGATCAGCGCCATCATCGCCTTTATGTGGATTACTGACCATGTCATTATCACGACAAAGAAATGGGCAAAAATATCCGTTGAGAGCTGTTCGTGGTGAAATCAGCTGCTGCTGAAAATGAACACGGTACGCCTCAAGGTTTGACAAAAATTTGTCTTCATATAAGTCATGGCTCTAATCCCGAGTGTGGAAAAACCAGCGCTGTGCATGCATTTATTAAAGGGGCTTATATACCTAAAAACCCGTTTTTGAGTTGAGTACACAGTAAATAGCGGTAACGTCTATTTGCTGATCCAGATTTGCCTATCAAATACGTTCCGTATTTGATTTGAACATTTTTGTATTTCACCAACTTTCAACCCTCTGCTTTTGGTTACGCACTACTTGTCCTTAGCAAAACCCTCGTTTTCCCTGGCTTTAGGTCGTGTGTTTGTATTTGTTCGCTCAAAATCCATCCACGAGGTGGTTTTTCATGTATTTGGCTCGTTACAACGTTCGCTAGGTTTGATTCATTACATCACTCACACTTCGCAAAATGACCTCAGCGACTGATACGCTCACAGTCCCCCCCCCCCCTGCCTCCCGCTCCCTCACTTGTTGCAGCACATGAAAAGTACTGTAAAATATGATGTCACGAAATGTGCTACAAAACACGATATTGCGAAATAGACTACAAAATATGACGCTGTGAATACAATGCGACAAAATATGGTACGATACATTGCGATACGATAACATACGATCCTGTACAATGTGTACACAATCAAATGATGATTTCAAAAAAGGTTCTTAATTGACAACAGAATGTGCCAAACCCAGCGCACACACACAAAGATGAAGGAATATCAATTGAAAGCACATGGAATCCGCACTGACATGCAAAGATCACACACGTACATACCTGTAACGTACAATCACTCGAGTAACCGGCATGGGCGGCACTGCCCCCAGATGACGTCATATCACACACGTACATACCTGTGACGTACAATCACTCGAGTAACCGGCATGGGCGGCACTGCCCCCTGATGACGTCATATCACACACGTACATACCTGTGACGTACAATCACTCGAGTAACCGGCATGGGCGGCACTGCCCCCAGATGACGTCATCAAAGCTCCAGTGACGGCGCTAGTGCTCGCGCAGGTCATGCACTCTCACGGTTTAAGGCAAAGGCACACAGAGAAAAACTTCGATATAATCCAAAACATCCTGAACTTTGCTTTCAGAATTGTTTTTGGTCGACGTAAATTTGACCATGTGTCTGACCCGCATGATACACTTCGATGGATGTCGCCTCGACACATGGCAGAGTCACGTGTGCGGTACACCTAGCAGGACAGACTCCTACACTTCCCAGGGCCGAGGACCGATGCAGACAGGAGACGTTCTGGGTACCAGGTGCCAGTATTGTATAATGCACTGACTGCCGACATGACAAAAATAACATAGTAGCCTTTCGTACGCGCAAGAGAGCGCACCTGTTTGAGCGCATGTATGATTGGTAGCCGGTGAATGGGTGTCTCTGTGTTAATTTTTTATCTGCATGCCTTATGTCCTGAACCATTGACACGGGGCTGTGATAGTCACTGCCTGGGCTGTGATAGTCACTCCCTGGGCTCATAGCCACACTGGGCTGTGATAGCCATTGTGGCTGGCCCTGCGGAAGTAATGCAATGCAATGCAATACGATCGTTTCTTGCTAAACAGTATCGGGGAAGGGACAAAAGGCTTTTGAGAACGAGAAGTGTAAGCCAAGCCTCCGATATGCGCAAGACGTGCGCTGGGCATGCGCACGATTACGCTGCGTTCAGCGTAACGGTCAAAAAGTTGCCCTCCGGTTGGCCACTACCCGACCCTGGCGTCCGGCCGGTCCCAACGGTATCCAGATTTTTCCAGATCCGGTTTTTCACATATCTTCAAAGACTCAAGCGCGATTTGCTGCCAGAGCTGAGCGTAAGGTTGCGTTGTCCAGCCCCCTGTGGTAACGTGTCGGTTGTTTCTGGTCAAACTTTTCCCATTCAAGCGTAACGTAATTGACGGACTGTCCCTGTTATGTGTATTTTGTTTGAAGTTATCACTATACGCTGTTAAAATCCAACGAAGTTCTTCTCCTTAGCACGTGTCCAGTGTTAGGTGAGCGCTACATTACAGAGGTCCAAACATGATTCGACTTGACTTGACTTGACGTGTCGCCTGCCGAGCCACAGCGAACTTTTTCGCGTGGTTTCAGAAACGGGTTTCCAGAGGAGAAAAGGTGAAGAGTTGTGTCCGATCAAATGTGATCTATACCCAGCATCACGTGCATCGTAAATTATTTTTGAACGACCCTCGGTGTAACCTTTCATCGCTGTGTAGCCGAAGTCTAATGCTGCAAATCCTGAGAATAATGGAACAGTTCATTTCCAACGAGATCGGCTAGACATATTACATGAATTGCGCAAAGAAAAATGGCTGTTAATCATAGAAATCCGTTCCTGCTCATATCGTTCTTTATATGAATTTATGAATAGCAATAAAGCTGTTGATCGAAGTCTTACGTGGCCGGCCCACAAGCTAATCTAAATTAATGTGGCCGTAGAAACGAAGAGATAACTCAGTTATTTCGAGTCAACCCACACATTTCGAGGGTGAAGTGTCATGGATTACACACACAGATGAATTTGCTACGCATTCAATCACCAACATAGGTCACACGCAAGTCGTTTTTGCACAAGCCACAATGCACTGGACCCGCATGGTAACCACACATTCTTCAGCAGCGCTTTAGCACACGAGTTCGTCTACATCTACCAAATCATCTTTGCACTGCGAGGCCCTGGATTCACGTGCCAATTTCGTGCACTCTTTTAAAAACCTACTCTCCTATATCACCCTCCTAAAAGCAAAGATTTCCTTCCGAGGGTTTTTTATTTGTCATATTTTGATATTGATTTTTTATTGACATTTTCAATCAACGATTTCAATCTTGTTTGTATGCAGCAAGGAATGGAATTAGTTGCTGGCATATCAACAGTAATCGAACCTGAGATAAGGCTGCATTAGTGTTTACCCATGTTGCGCCATATATGCATGCGTCGAAGCTGACGAGACACGCGAGGGCAAGAAAGGAAATCCTCAGGAAGAATCGTTTGGGTCATTCTTTTGTAAGTAACCCACGATCTGTTTACCAAGACAAAGTCAGTGATTTTCAGCTCTCAAATGTCGCCCTCAAAATTTCCATTGCGGCTGGAGTGTTGTCACACACTCCGACAGCTCAAAGGAAGCCGTTCCTGCAGTCACCGCAAATGTCAGATCTTTCAGATCTAGCCGTTGGCACTTGCCAATGCTGCCACAGCGGTAGTGCTTGTCAGACTACATTGACTCTGAAACACACCCGGCAATGTCAGTGGGAGTGTTGTTTTGCCACAGCAGTGGGCTTCGCCGAGAAATGACTGCATTTCTTGAGTCCTCTTATCTTGCCCATAACAAACATTTCTGCACTCGATATGTGAGGAGGCGCCGGATGCAGCGTAACCGAAGCATGGGGCGCAAGTAACGCATTTGATCGTCACTTTGAATCACCTTTTTCGCCGTCACGAACGCATGACCTAAACATGAAAAGCCGCCAGCGACCGCCGACAGCATATGACACATGTAAGTTTGTTGGTGTACTTTTTTTTTTTACTTTAACTACCCGTCGATGGGACTGAGCGATCAGCCGACAGTGTTTTTGCGACGCGAAAATGTACGATTGCAATAACTGATAAATTTTTTGATAAAGTTGATGTTTGGACGTATCGTGCGCAGAATGGCGTATAAATTGGTCATAAACAAGTGCTTGCGGGCTTACTTCCTTAAGCGACGGAGCGTCTTGGGACGATCTGTGTCTTCACTATTTCGGGTAAACTCACACTCACACCACTCATGAGATTCCCTGGCCGACCCAAACATTGGCTGCCGACGACGACATTGGCTGCCAAACATTGGCTGACGGAAACCGAGTGTAATGTGATGTGCTGACTGCCGAGGACATTCGAATCTTACTCTGCAGATTTCCATTACGGCTGGAGCGCTGTTATGCATTCCAAAATTCAAGAAAACGCTCTTACCATCATTGCAAATGCTAGATGTTCCTAGTTTCGCAACTGCCACTTGTGGCTTGGAATGTGCCTTGTGGCTTGTGCTGCTGCAGTGTTGCAGTACTGTCAAACTCTTAAGTGACCCCGAAATACCCCGCGAAGCCAATGCGGGAGCTGTTTTGCCGTAGCAGCGAGCTTCACTGAAAGCTTATTGCATCTCGTGGTTTCTCGTACGGTACTCGTTGCAAAATACTTGTCACTCGATGTGTGCGGTTTCTTTGTCATTTCTCAAAGCGAGAAGTTGCGGTAATGCATATGATCAGCACCATGACTCAACTTTCTCGCCACAACGACTGAATGATGGAATGGGGGAATGACGGCCGCTAGACACCAACATACGGCTCGTGCGCGTTTCACACTTTTAAAATGTGGATTAAGTACTAGCCGCTAGCCACGGGCGATCAACCGGCGGCATTTCGGTGACGCGCAAATTTGCAGGTGCGACCGTTCCGGTGAAGTTGATGTATGGACGGGACAGTGCACAGATGACGAACAAATGGGAGATGAATACTGACAATAAATTGGTGCGCGTGTTGAAGGAAATTTAACCGAGACTTTGTCTACAGTTTCGGCGACGGCGTGTTGTATTCGACACCAATTTTTCTTTTTCAAAATG